AGATCTCTTTCTTTTCTTTTTAATGTTGTTATTCAGTGGTAGTGTGGGGCTTTCACTTTTATTGTTTGCTCAACCTTGTATCCTGCTCTGATCAGAGACTCCAAATTTGTTCTGTTTTGAAAGAGGACTGAGAGTGAGAAGCTTTTCTGTTTCTTGTAGTTTTGAGAGTTGAATAAGGTGGAGGGTGGGGGCTAGGATTCAGAAACTGCTTGCAAGTTACAATATTCACTGACTGGTGTATGGACCTCCTAAGACCCATTCCTCACTAACACCGTATAAGACAATGTAGTGGGTATGTGTGTGTACTCCCTGAGTCCAAGATAAAGTAATAGTAATAAGGAAAACAAAGAAAAGTAGAATGAAATAGAATGAACAGAAGAAAAAAAAACACAGAAAAACAAAAGCAAAAGGAAGAACAAAAAATAAAAAGAACAAAAGAATCCCAAATCATCAGAAAAGAAAATGCAAAGAAAAACAGGAACACTGAACACATGCACACACACACAGAATAACAGGAAAACTGAACACACACACACAGAAAATAGAAAATGAAAGAGCAAGAAGAAGAAAAAAAAGGAGAGAGGGAATGGAAATTGAACCCTCACATACACATTCATACACACAAAATCAGAACAAAAGAACAAAACAAAACAAAAAAGGGGGAATGCAAAATGTACCCTCACACACAGTCATATACACTAATCTAAAACAAAATAAGGATTATATTTTTAAAAACTGAAAAAAAAAAGAGAAAAAAAAGGTGGGGAATGCAAATTAAACCCTCACATACTTATTCTCTCTCTCCTCTCTCTCTCTCTCTCTCTCTCTCTCTCTCTCTCTCTCTCTCTCTCTCTCACACACACACACACACACACACACACACACACACACACGAACAACAGCAAAAGAATTAAAAGAGAATTTTGGTGTACTAACTGCCCTCTTGTGGCAGGTTCTGTAATTATTCCCCTCAGCTACTCACAGGTAAACCCACCTGCCATCTCCTGTGGCAGGAGAGGATAAAGGGGAGATACTGTATTTGGATGACTCCTGTTGTTATCTTTAACCTTAACTTTTTAAACAGATGTTGATTAGGCATCTCAAGTTTAACATATCCAAATCCCAAATTCTAGCATCCACTCCTTCTCCATATCTCAGGTAATGCCTACTCCATTCTTCCAGTTGCTTAGTGAAAAGCCTTAGATGCATTCTTTTACTTTTTTCTTTCTTTGCATCTCATATCTAATGCATTAGGAAATCCTGTTCTACCTTTGAAATATCTAGAATTTTATCATTTCTCAATGCCACTACATCTACCTATCTTGTCCAGTTCACCTTTATTTTTTACCTGGGCTATTTGACTTCTCCCTAATTGGTCTTTTTGCTTTTTGCCCTTGATAAGATCGGTCCCCATCCCAGTGATACACTTAAAATGTCAATTTGTAATATGTTATTCCTCTGCTCAAAATGATCCTTTCCTTCCCATTTCACTTCAGATCCAAATTTCACAAGGCCTAGAAAACCTTATATTTTATTCCCAGTGACCTTTTTGTCCTTAGCTATCATTCCTTTGTCCACTTTACTGTAAATATATGCACTTCTTTGCTGTTCTTTGAGAATGCCAGTTATACTCTTGCCATTGGCTACTAGTCCCATTGTGTGGAAAACTCTTCCCCGAGATCTGCATGACTTTCTCTTCCTTTTTTAAATCTCTCAAATATTACCTCTAAAAGAGAATATTTTGTTAGTTTTCTTATATAAAATAGCAACAACCTGCATTTGGCTCCATACCTTTCTAGAAGTGACATCCCTTTCCTTGTTAGTCTAAGTTATTGTCCTTATTTTTCTAATAACTGTTTGCTATACTATAATATATATTCACTAATGTATTATTTATTTTCAGTATCTCTGTACTGCAGTGTTAATTTCATGGAGGCAGACAATTGGCTTATTTTGTTCCTTACAGTATCCCTAGTCCTTAGTATAATGCCTATCATATAATAAGTGCTCAGTAAATACTTACTGAATGAATACTGGGTTACTATTTTAGATATGGCTTTCTTTTATTTATTCTGTTAGATAGTCTTTCAATCTGAAGACTTTATTTAACTCTAAAACATTCTCAGCAACTCTCTCCTAAAAGATTGCTTTATTTTTCATCCCTCTTTTACTACTTTTGAAACGTTTTACTCATATATTAGTTTCCCAAAGAAACTTACATGTCTCAACTGTGTTTTCATGTTTTAATCTCATTCTTGCTCTGTCACTGTTCTGGATAATGTCTCATCATTTCTCTCTGTACTGTTCTGTCTCTATGCACTCATTACTATCCTTCATTTCACTATTTCTCTCTTTGCATCTAGTTTTGAACTAAGTTCATTTAGTTGTGTTTTTATTTCAGTGATTATAATTTTTATTTTCAATATTTTAATAGTTTTTTTTAAATCTACCATTCTTGTTTTATTTCCTCAGTTTTGTTTTTAATATTATATCTTTAAGGACTCTTAACTTACTTGTTTTAAAATCTTTTTCATTGTGTTTTATTTTCATTTTGTCTGATTTAAACTATGTCAGTATATGTGAATTCATGTGTTTTGGAATTTTTTGTTTGTGGTCATATCTTGAGAGGGAAGGTGGCTATTAGTGTTGTTCTCTTCCTCCTCTGTCCCTACTACCCCCTCTTTTTCTAATACCTATTTCTATATTTATGCCTCTAAATTTTCAACTTTGCCTGAATTTCAGTTTCTGAAATAGGTTTTATATTGGCCAACAGTAACAATAGGGATTTTGCTATATTTATGCCTCAGCTGCAGGGTATTTTGGCTAAACTCCTGATTGGGATGCTGTATCTACAAACTTCTGCTTTTCTAGACTCTCTTATAAGTCTTAGCTCTAGACAATGATGGAGAGAACCTTTTTTCAGCCTCCCTTAATTAGCATTTTCACCCCAGTCTTTGGTTTCAAACAGTGACCTTGTCTGTGCTTCTACATATTGGATAAGGCCCTTTTATTCCCTGTTAGTCCTAGAAGTCAAGCTCCTTACTACCTGCATCTGGATTTGGAGGGCAGCAAACAGGAGTTTGTTCCCCATTCATAGCTGTATATTTCTATTTAGTTTGTGATTCTCAGAGATGTAGGTGCATCTCCTTAATTTTTTTGTCATGTATTTCTATTAACATTATACATTTAGAGAAGAGAGGGATCCTTAAGTGTGAGCTTATAATGCTAACTTGTTGGAAGGCTAAATATTTTAAATGAACTATTATGTCTTCTGAACTTATCTCTTATGACCAGTGTTATGCTCTGCTGATTGGTGTCCCTTTACCTGACTGGTGTCCCTTCTTATATCCCTTTGTGCCTTCAAAGACCCTTTGCTGCATTTTACTTAAGTGAAGATTCTTTCCTCTTATCTACACATTCTGTGATTTGTGAGTGATTTAAGAGTCAGATTCCTATTTGTTTTACATATTTTTAAAGCTTTTTAAAAATATAAATCAGTGTTCAATAAATTTTCCCTTATTTGTGTAAACTGACTGATGTCAGCCTAGTTGTTTAAACTTATCACACCTCTGTTTGTTCCTTTCCCTCCTTTTCTTGTTTAAAGCTGTATTTATTTAGTTTTAGAAGATAGTCTTTATTTACAAGTATTGTGATTTTTCTGTTTCCCAGATAACTATGCTTTGATTATACAACTACCATTTAGTTTAGTTAGTAGTATTGTTAGAGACTAGAAATGTATAGGAAGATGTCAGAAATCCAAAAATTCTAGTTATAGAATATTGATTATTAGTAAATCTCTGGCACTCTCTGTTTTGAGACTCTTACTTTAAAAATGGTAATATTTTATCCTTAACACATTTGCGATAGGCAAAATTTTCACTTTCCTAATTTTGAGAGTGGGTGAAAATTAAAAAAATCTGAAGCTGGTTGCTGCAAACTTCTGTCACTAAGCATAAGTGAAATGGTCTTTTCTAAATTTTCACCTTTTTCACAATCCACCTGAAAGTTGCAGACGTATTTGCCTCAGACACCACTCTGACTAGTGTTCTGTATTCTGTATTTTTATTAGGATTATTAACCAAATATATATTAAAAATGTTATATATGTGTGTGTGTATATATATATATTTATATATATATTTCTTCATTTACATTGCATCATTACATCACTCTGTCTCACTATCACTAGTAAGTTAACTGGATTCGCCATCTACCTTGGAAATCTCATCAGCATATATTTCTTCATTTTCCATAATTATGGTAAATTATTTTTAATGTTGAAGTATGAAAGCCCTGAAATATCAAAATACAAGTACACAACACTAATCGCGGCAAAATAATGACCAACTTGCAATTTTTACCAACTATGGATAACAACATCATGCAGCTGATATCAGATAGTTATCTCAATTAACTTTCTCCTTGTCTACCTATTCGTTTTCAGTCAAAATATAATAACACATACATATGACCACGTTGTAGCATTCAGAACCTAAATTTGCAAAGACATAAATTCATGTCACTGGCAATCAGGAACAGAATTTGGAACGACATAAATTCACATTAGCAACAACCAGGAACAGAATTTGGAATGACATAAATTCACGTCAGCAATTGTGAATGAGTTAATATAACTGTGTATATAAAAGCTTAAACTGACAAAAGCATATTTATTTATTTTTAATTATGTTTGAAGTGATGGCATTATAGTTATTGCAATAAAACATAGTTTAGCTATGGTTAAAGCATAGTTTAGTATTTTTTATGGTATATCTAAATCTGGAAACTAAATTGTTCTTTTAGTATGAAGTTGTCTTAGTTATCAGCAGTTGTAAGTTGCTGTCATTTGCCATATGGTTTCTGATTAATTCTAAAAGAGCTGTCAACTCAGGGTAATTTAATTTTTTATATTTTAAAGTGATATTATCAGGAAGTGAAAATTTAAATTATTAGCTACCAATTATGACTAATAAATTCTTAAATATATATTTTGTATCTAGAGAGAAACAGAAATCTGAAACTAAAGACAGAAAAGTTCTAGAAATTCTGCAAGTCAAGGATACTAAAATACAAGAATTGGAACAGGTTGGTGTTATAATAAAATATTAAAAATTACTGTATTTGGATAGTAGCTTTAAAATTATTTTATTTTTAAAATAATGTTCATAAAGAATATCAGGGTCATTATGTTAAAGCATTACTATAAAGCATTTTGAAATCACTATAGTTAGATTATTCTTCATTATTATACTTTGTAATCTATTGTTTTCTGGATTAATAGGCTATAACTCTTTAGGTAATACCATAGTTTTGTAATAGTATCTAGCTATTTATTCACTGTTTTGCTGAATTTTGCATTTTATTATTAGCAGTTTTCATTACGTCTGAAATGTATAAATTTTCATATGGTTTATTTGTAGAAAAAATTAATAATTGAGATGTTTTATTTATGCTTTAAAAAATTTGTATTTTTGAATTGGTGCAAACCTATATTTTACATATAATAAGTAAATTATATAAGTACATGTAATTATATGTGTAAAATTATATAAATATAATATATATGATATTATATATTCAATATGTAAAATTATGTGTACTTATATGATAAATATATTCTCATTACAAAAATACATGTGGCCAGGCTCGGTGGCTCAGCCTGTAATCCCGCGCCTTTAGGAGGCTGAGGTGAGTGGATTGCCTGAGCCCGCGGGTTTGAGACCCGCCTGGGCAG